TATATTGTTAATTGCACGTATAATGTCAACATTCTTGGTATAGCTCATGAAACAATACAAAACTGTTACTGATCAGCCATTAACCATCTCCAGTTAGTCTATCTTATCTACAGTTACTCAAACCAAGATGGTGTGGTGTGGATAATGTGTCCTGAAACGTGTGTCGGGGTCAGACAGACAGTTTGGGCACCCGCGGTGTAGTTCACACATAAAGTTATATCACTGTATGCTATTCACAGAGATTTCTGTACTACACGTCTATCACGACACATTTATTTGGGGGTCTCACAGCAGGGATGTTTCTTCTGTAGTTCAGCCTGACCCCACACTTTTGTTTTCCCGGCACCTGCTCCTACACGATGAGTGTGTGGCCCATACAGACATAATTCACCAGGTGCTGCTCTGCCTGGAAAATGAGTCAGAAATAGTGAGCTGGAGTGAAAAGCTTTTATCAGAGCTGGTTGACTTGACTACCGCAGCTCTGACCTCAATTACAGCCCGCCTGACTGCATCCATTACATTAGATCCCAACATAGAAATTCTGTATTGTTGTGAGGGTTTTTTCATTTACCATGTCATTACACTTTATGTAGCTCAGTAACACATAAATACCTCAATTTTAAACACTGAACTGAATAAACGTAACAGTTTATTAAACTTTTATAACGTCATGCAGCTTTCCGGAAGCAACACTATTTTATTATTTAATTTTAAGGGCTAAAGTCTGTGTATAGGTGCAGGGAAAGAAAATATGTGCTTATAGTAATTTTAAACTATATTTACTAACAATTTAAAGGTGCAATATTGTGGAAATTTGGGAGTACCTGGGCAAAGCTGAATAATAAGAGTTCAAAAGAATGTAAACTCATTCATTCATTCATTTTCTTTTCGGCTTAGTCCCTTTATAAATCTGGGGTCACTACAGTGGAATGAACCGCCAACTAATCCAGCACATGTTTTACGCAGTGGAAGTGTAATGTGGATCTTGTTGGAAAATATGCCGATAAGTCCTGGTTCTAGTTTGATTGCAGTGTTTACTTCAATAATACTATATCTGCATACTCCACATGTCTTAATTTATTTTCTGTTTAGTTCAGTTATGACTTTAGTCGGATTAATGTCACTGTTTCAAGCTTATGTAGGCCTACAATTCAAAATTCATGTTTAACTGAATAAACAGTTAGTAAACACAAGTACATTTTATTGAATATAACTTATTTTCATCCCCAATTATCATTGTAGAACAGTTTCTCAAGCAGTTTGTGATGCATTTTGGAAACCGGAGATGAGCCCCTGGTCTAATGCACCATCTGGCTTAAGAAACCCGTTCTCAAAGACTTAGTCATTATTTGGGAACCAGAATTCAAATGAGCCATCTTATTGTAGATTAATTCCAAGATTATAGTGAAACTAATCTAGATTAGATTTAAAAAAAAGCCCACCTATAGAATATATATATATATATATATATATATATATATATATATATACAGTTGAAGTCAAACTATTAGCCCCCTTTTGATTTTGATTTTCTTTATTAATATTTCCCAAATGATTTTTAACTGAGCAATGAAATTTTCACAGTATGTCTGATAATATTTTTTCTCCTGGAGAAAGTCTTATTTGTTTTATTTCGGCTAGAATAAAAGCAGTTATTAATTTTTTAAAAAACATTTTTGGGACAAAATTATTAGCCCCTTTAAGCTATTTTTTTTTCCCGATAATCTACAGAACAAACCATCATTATACAATAACTTGCCTAATTACCCTAACCTGCCTAGTTCACCTTATTAACCTAGTTAAGCCTTTAAATGTCACTTTAAGCTGTATAAAGTGTCTTGAAAAAATCAAGTAAAATATTATTTACTGTCATCATGGCAAAGATAAAATAAATCAGTTATAAGAAATAAGTTTTTAAAAAATATTATGCTTTGAAATGTGCTGAAACAATCTTCCCAGAACAGAACAGAAATTGGGGAAAAAAATAAACAGGGGTGCTAATAATTTAGGGGGGCTAATAATTCTGACTTCAACTGTATATATATATATATATATATATATATATATATATATATATATATATATATATATATATATATATATATATATATATGTATATATATGTATATATATATATATTCGAGTCCTGATCAGGAGGTAACGTCCAATTCCGATCGAGTCTGAAACCATGTGATTGGACCCGATTTCCGATTACATGATTGGATCGGGACATTTATAACCTAAGCGCTATCATAACTGCTTCCTGTTGGTTTATTATAGATTCATATATTAATGTAATATGTGTTTTCACATTAAATTAATCTCACATTTTAAATTTATCTTGGAGTTGATCAATTTAATTTAAACTTAGAAATACCCTTAAAAGAAAACGGTACTGATGTAAGCTACATTTTTAATTTGCAGAAAGCAGAATAATTTTCACAGTGTAATACTCAATTCACTGTCAAAAATATTGAGTTCCACACAGTCAATTAGTTTTGGGACAACATGAAGGAATTAAGTTAACTTTAATTTTTGCAAATTTAAGTGGATCGAACCCAAGAACTGTAAAAAACCCAAGATACTGTGTTGTTTCAGCTTATTTTATATACTTAGTTTGAAGAAACAGCAAACATCTTTTTTTTTTTTTTTTTTTTTGAGTGTAGAGTACATTTAGAAGGACTACTTTTAATTCATACTTTGCTAATAAATTCTTAACATGGCAGCTCAAGATTCAGACTTTATGATTTTTATTTTTGGTAATTTTTGTGTTTTTAAGGGATTTATGGATTAAATGAATCTCACAGCTGAAGCGCAGTTGCCAAGGAGATCAGGAATAATGTCTTGAAGATGCTGGAAAGAGAAGAAAGGAACCAGTTTGGTCGCTTTGACCCTCCAGGCTGAGCTACCTCTGTGAAAAGTGTGTGACAAAAAAGACTTTGAATTAGATCTGGAGAACATGAACATTTTATCTGCATTGGTCTCTCTCTCTCTCTCTCTCTCTCTCTCTCTCTCTCTCTCTCTCTCTCTCTCTTTTGGGAACCATCAGAAAAGATTTGACAGCCATCAGTGCTTTTCTACTGACGTAGATGATATCATACAGTCAAGGCTAAGCTGCTGTTATCAGTCACAATTAAAGCTTAACATAAACCACCAAGCACCAAATGCAACTAAAAACCTGTGTTTTTAGTATATGAAGCAGTGTTACCCAACGGCTGTCTGGTCACTTTTTTATGAACAATGTTTAGTGTTTTGTTTAACTATGAATTGTGTGCACTGTAAAAAACATTAGCAGAGTTTTGTATTATGTGAATCATGTTTTTATTTTTGACATGGTTTATTTATGCTTTTGAATTGCATTACGGGACCTTAATCTTTCTGTCAACAACTTTTAACCTTGAAAAGTTCAAATTAGTGACTTCTGGAGAAAGTCTTATTTGTTTTATTTCGGCTAGAATAAAAGCAGTTTTTTATTTTTTAAAAAGTCATTTTAAGGTCAAAATTATTAACCCCTTTAAGCTATATTTATTTCCATAGTCTACAGAGCAAACAATCATTATACAATAACTTGTCTAATTACCCTAACCTGCCTAGTTAACCTAATTAACCTAGTTAAGTCTTTAAATGTCACTTGCTTTGCTGTATAGAAGTGTCTTGAAAAACATCTAGTCAAATATTATTTATTTTCATCATGACAAAGATATATTATTTTATATTATATTATATTATATTATATTATATTAAATCGTTGATTTTCTTTTGGCTCAGTCCCTTTAATATTATCAGAGGTTGCCACAGTGGAGTGAACCACCAACTTATCCAGCATATATCGTTGGACTGTGGGGGAAACCGGAGCACCCAGAGGATTTGCACACCAACATGGGAAGAACATGCAAACTCCACACAAAAATACCAACTGACCCAGTCGGGACTCGAACCAGCAACCTTCTTGTTGTGAGGTGGCAGTGATCACTAAGCCGATCAGCTGATCATTGCTAATATTTCAGTTTAGAGATCTAAACAAAGTTTATGTGTTTGGCAAAGAAATTGCTTAGTGAACCCGAATGCCACAGAACATTGTTTAATTAGGCAAACAATAAAAAGAATATTAAAGAAATGATGCAATAAAAGATAATGAAGCAGTTTCCTCACAAGAATAGAGACTTAAATTAAAAAGAGAGAGAGAGAGAGAGAGAGAGAGAGAGAGAGAGAGAGAGAGAGAGAGAGAGAGAGAGAGAGAGAGAGAGAGAGAGAGAGAGAGAGCGCTCTTAAATGGCCTTCTGGAACCAAGCACACGGTACAGGATGTTCACATTACATTAATGACTGACCTCAAACAAAGATAATTCACAGCTCCAAACTAGCCCATATTCACGATCGTTTATTTATTTTTTATCAACTTGAACAGACATCACAGTCTGTGTGAGTTGAATTAGGAAGCAGACATATTTTAGAAGGCCTGTGTGTTGTTAATCTGCGTCTGCAAACAAATGTCTGTCAAGCCCACTCTAAAACTTCTGCACAGATAAATTAGAAGGACACGTTTCCCCCCACCAGTCATGCCTGGAGCTTATCTGGAGCTGGATGACATTTCACCATTATTCAGCACAAAGTTCTCCTTGATGATAAGCACACATTTGTCATTGATTTTAAGAAACTGACTTTATGAAGCTATTAAAAGGTGAGAAACTACTCTTGTAGAAAAGACTTGATTTTTAATTCTAAACTCTTGTCTTTACTTACAAACATATATTACAAAAATGTCAAGCAGGAACTTTATTAAGAAAGAAGACATATTTGTATACAACATTTAATATATTTGCCGCATTATGAAATACTGATATTCGTTTTTTTTGCGACCTGTTGCAAATATATTTCCAAAGATGTTGTTTTCATTTTAGGAATACGTCGCACACTTTTTGTACAGCCTCTCGCCACCAGGAGGAATACACACGGAGGGTTATACTGTACACTACAGATCACAACCTCCAAACAAACAAA